AGCATCTGAGAGCTAGGAGAACGAGAGACTCGACATCAACGCCAAGTGTGGAGGTGAGTTTGTCAAAGATCAGAAAGGGAAGTTTTGAAAAAGATGGTGGGGACTGACTGACAAGAAAAAAGAAAAAGGAAGTGAGGAGGCGAGTTAAGGCCAACTACAACTATGTTCAGAGTGTATGGAGTGCTGAGCTTGGCAGAAATGTACACTTAGCTAGAATAACAGTGCGAGGGAAAGGAGCGATGGAGGAAAACAGTTGTTAGGAAGAGATGGAGCGAAGTAACCAGAGGAGAGGAGGTGAGCTAATGACAGGAGAGTTGAGCAGAAAAACAAGTGGAAATAAACCAACATGTGAGAGAGAGAGAGACTGAAAGGAAAATAATATGAGAAGGGACGGTTTAATTAGGGAAAGTTCCAGGTTATTACAGATAGTAATAATTACCCACAACTACTGTGCACCTTTTCCTCCCAGACAAGCAATTATTATGTGATTATGTGAATAATTCAATTTGGTTTGAATGTATGCACTGAGGCCTAGAGAGAAAAAGCAAAGAGGCAAAGCCAAGGAAAACAATAGAAAACAGGGGAAAAGGAAGATGGAGAGAGAGAGAAAAAGTTCAAAGTTTTAAAGAGCAAGACGGACTGAGGCCTGCTTTCTTCTTTCCTCACTCAGCTAAATTCTCAATGACCCTTCGTTCTGGATGGCTGGATAGTTAAACAACACATCACTTCCAACAAACACAACAAAGAGGGTTAGATATACATGTTGTCAAAGTGAATATGCTGCAGATTTACTAAATATAAAAATCAATCTAAACGCAAACTATTCTCAGCGCTGTTAAGTAATGTTACCGGTCATGACACGCCGATCCATTTTTCACTTTTTTATCGTCCAGCTGACTGTTCAGTTCCTGCCTTTGAACATGATCGCCTTAACACAGAAAATATCCAATTCGGATCTCCAAGAAAATACAATTTCACGTTTTGACTCTATAAAAAAACAATTTGATCTTTTTTTATGTGCTTTTGCATTCAAGCTCATTTAATAAACATCACAAATTTTTTAAATATATAACAGATGACCAATGTGTTTTAAAGTAACATTGATGATAATCAGGGCAGACATGATGTGCGCTGTGATGGATTGGCTGACTCAGGCAAGTTTCAAGTGTTTCCAAGTTGAATTTCACAACATACTGAAATGAATGAAAGCACTGGCTGCCCGAAAGGAAGGAAGGAAAAACATTAAAAAATCAAAAACACCAAGGTATCAAGTAAAGGTCGTTATAGCTTTGGAAAATGATCCCTACTAAGGTAAAGTTTATAGGATATATAGTGAATGGTGAATGCAGCCACTTAAATCCTTTTATTATGTGTTCTGATGGTATTTTTTTTACCCTCATGGTCCTTCCCTACTAAGGTAATAATAAGGGATGTTTTATGTTTAAAACACAATTCAAACACTGTTTGCTTAGTCAGGCTGGTTTTGTTGATCTTACCATTTAAACAAGAAACTCTAAAGAAATGCTAAGATGGAATTGGAAAGCAAGAGGAGGAAATATAAACACATAATAAAAGTTACAAGAAGGGAAAAATGACAAAGAAAGGACAAAGAGATGGAAACAAATTAGAGGAAAAGAATGCTGACAAAGTAACAAAGAGAAAAAAAAGAGTTGAACATGGAGAAGAAAGGACGGTGAGACAGGCAGGGAAGAATGAATTGGACTAATAGGAGGTGGCATAGGTGTGTGCACACTTATCGCCAACTTCATACAGTGTTATGAAGCTGTGTTTGCCCCCTTCTTGATTCCTTTTTTGCACATTTGTCACACTTACATGTTTTAATCAAAAAATTAAAATATTAGACAAAGATACGTTGACTAAAAACAAAGTGAGTTTTTTTTAATTATGATTTTATTTATTAAAAGAAACAAGCTACCCAAACATACGTCACCCTGTGAGAAAAAGTGATTGCCCCCTAAACTTAATAACTGGTTGTGCCAACCTTGGCAGCAAGAACTGCAATTGGCAACAAAGACTGCAATCAAGCATTTGTGATAACTGGCAATAAGTCTTTCGCAGCGCTAGAGAGGAATTTTGGCCCACTCTTCTTTGCAGAATTGTTTTAACTTAGCCACACTGGAGAGTTTCTGAGCATGAATGGTCTGTTTAAGGTCATGCCAAACCATCTCAATTGAATTTAAGTCTGGACTTTGACTAGGCCACTCCAAAATCTTTGTTTTGTATTTTTGAATCATTCAGAGGTAGAATTGCTGGTGTATGTGGGATTATTGTCTTGGTGCATGTCCCAAGTGCTCTTAAGCTTCAGGGTATGAACTGATGGCTGCACATTCTCCTTCTAGTAGAGAGGAGAAGTCCTGGCACCATCAATTACAACAAGTCGTCCAGGTCCTAAAGTAGCAAAGCAGCCCCAGACCATAGTATTATCATGTTGGCATGATGTTCCACAGAAGTTTTTCCCAAAAGTCTTCGGGATCATCAAGATCATTTTTGTAAGATAAGCCTTTGTGTTCTTTTTCGTCAGCAGTCTTTTTTGCCTTGGAGCACTCCCATTTTTGCCCAGTCCCTTTCTTATCGTTGCGTCATTAAGACTGACCTTAACTGATCAAAGAGAGGCTTGCAGTTCTTTAGATTTTATTCTGGGTTTTTTGTTATCTACTGGATGAGACGTCAATGCACTCTAATTTTTAGGCCAGCCATTCCTGGGAAGGTTCACCACTGTTCCAACTTCTCTGACCCTGATTCACTGCAGTCCCAAAGCCAATCTATCTACATAATGCCACAATCTAAAGACAGATGTCTTTAGACCTCAGGAAGGTTTCTCTCCTTAATAAACAAATTCATTTATTCATTCTCCACCAGAGTACATCCTGGAGAGATCGCCAGACCACCATTCACACTGACATCTATGGCCAATTTTAAATTATGAATCAAGCTAACCCCACTAAATGCACGTCTTTGGACTGTAGGAGAAAGCTGGAGTTCCCACACAGGCACCATGTGGCCCAGGTTATTTTTGTCTAAAATTTAAACTCTGTTGATTATCACAAAAAAATCTGGAAAACAAACAAACGAGAAACGAGGAAAATACTTCTGGTCACCTCCAGTCCAGAGTTTTATGCATGGAGACACAGTTAGTGTGTCTGTGCTTGTGTCTGTGTTGCTGTACTCATTACTACAATTGAACAAGGCCAAAATTAATTTTAAAAAAAAAGATCCCCATACATAACCTGTTTCTCTTGAGGCTGTCTCAAAAAACAAATAAATCCCCATAGACTGAAGGTAAAGTGTCCAGATGAACAGGCTTAAAAGGCATGTCTATAGTCTGGTACAAATGAACAGTTTCTCTTAGTTCTTAACAATTGTATTAAACTCATCCAAGTAGATTCTGCCACAGGCAGCTGTAGAAAGGTATAGCTGCTAGACCTCACTGACCTGGACCTCTCAACATTATACGTGATGTTGGTGCACTTTGGAGTAATATATTCACATACATGAGTTCTACACAGTCCTAATTATTTATTTTTACTGCATATTATTTATATTTGTTTATATTATTTATTTTTTTCATTTTATTATATTTGTTTTTTACAATAACCCCAGGGATGACTAAAAACAATTATCAAAGAAATGCATACATGACCTTTAACTAACATTGAGATCAGTGATTTTGACTGTTTTATTTCAAAAATGACTTGGAATATGAAACATACTTTTTCATCATCAAGATTTTAGACTAATTAGATGAGGTTAAACTGCATAAAGTGATTAAAAAAAGTGAAAAAGCAAAGAAAGAAAGGACCTGATAAGATGATAACAACTCCGATGTTAAAGAGTTACAAGAGGCAAGCATTGTTGTGTGGTCTCAGACACACAATGTTCATCTATCAATGCTTTCTAAATGCAGGCTCTGAACATACATGATACATGTTTTTGTAGATGCATATCATAACTATTTTAAAATAACTCAAATACAGAATATCTCTGCTAAAGTTGCACTCTGAGACACGCAAAGTAAATGTTTAATATTGTAGTTTGTTATTTTTTTCTCTGTTTTAGTCAGTTTGTATGTTGAGAAGGACGTCAGCAGAAAGAAAAACAGCAAATTGTTCAAATTGTTGTTGTTTGAGGAAATGCTTCAACTCAGAAACTGGAACTGAGGCCTGCAGTAAGACTAAAGCCAAAGAATAAGTGGCTAAACACAATTTCTCAGCTACAGTAAACTGAGGTTTCCCTGTTTTTCTTACAGATTCTTTAATCCATACACTGCCTCTCCTGAGTCTTCTGTAAGCTGTTGATGTTTTGGGGATGTATAAATTGAAAAAAAGTGTAGGTGCATTTGAATCTACAAATCACACATTGTGACCTCTAACCCCTTAACTTCCTTTCTGATAGCTCCTAGCAAAAACAGGTGGGGTTGGGAAGTGAGATAGAGGAAATAAAGCCATAAAGTCATTTCTATTAACAAATGTTAAATACTTAAAGTCACAATGTACTGTAATTGAATGGAAGTGTACTTCCATCGCACTGTAATATGAGAAGACTGATTCCAACAGATGTATCTTTGCGGCACAGTATGTCAGAGACAGAAGGGGGAGAAGGAAGGGGAAAGGAGAGAGAGAGAGACCACAGAGTTTATTTAAGAAGGAGACCACTGTACAGTATCAGGTTCTTACTACAGCAGTGGTGATGT